CACAAAGCTGGCCCCTCTGGAGACCCCTGGAGTGATCTGTGGGCAGGGACAGCAGGGGGGAGGGCAAATGGACTGAAGAGCCTGTGATGGCGTGTTGGGGTCCCCCCGACCCTGCACCCCCATAGCAGCGAGAACAGACTCCCCCAGCCGGTAGAACAGGGGGTTACTGCTCCTCCAGGATACAGCCCAGCACAGACGTGATGTGGCTACAGGAGCCAGGGCCTGGATGCCTCAGACCCCTTGGGGTAGGGGGTCCATCACCCCCCCCCCCCGACCCTCAGCCCTCAGCTAAAGCCAGCAACTGCCCCTTCCCCAAAACCTCCCTTCCTTTGTCTCTTCCCTGCCCTCAACGGGTCGGACAGGCTGGGTCTCTGCCTGTGACCTTAGGCAGCCGTCCTGCCTAAGGGGATGGATTGCACCCTCAGCAAGTTCACAGATGACACTAAGCTAGGGGGAGAGGTAGACACGCTGGAGGGCAGGGATAGGGTCCAGAGAGACAGACAAATTGGAGGATTGGGCCACTAGAAATCTGATGAGGTTCAACAGGGACAAGTGCAGAGTCCTGCCCCTGGGACGGAAGAATCCCAAGAACTGTTACAGGCTGGGGACCGACTGGCTAAGCAGCAGTTCTGTAGAAAAGGACCTGGGGGTTACAGTGGATGAGAAGCTGGAGATGAGTCAACAGTGTGCCCTTGTAGCCAAGAAGGCTAATGGCATGTTAGGTTGCATTAGGAGGAGCATTGCCAGCAGATCCAGAGATGTGATTATTCCCCTTTATTTGGCTCTGGTGGGGCCACATCTGGAGTATCGTGTCCAGTTCTGGGTCCCCCACTACAAAAAGGATGTGGACGCATTGAAGAGGGTCCAGCGGAGGGCAACCAAAATAATTAGGGGGCTGGAGCATATGACTTATGAGGAGAGGCTGAGGGAGTTGGGTCTGTTTAGTCTGCAGAAGTGAAGAGTGAGGGGGGATTTGAGAGCAGCCTTCAACTTCCTGCAGGGGGGTCCCAGAGGGGATGGAGAGAGGCTGTTCTCAGTAGTGACAGATGCAGAACAAGGAGCAATGGGCTCAAGTTGTGGTGGGAGAGGTCCAGATTGGATATTAGGAAAAACTATTTCACTAGCAGGGTAGTGATGCACCTAGAGCAGGGGGCTGGACTTGACCTTCTGAGGTCTCTTCCAGTTCTATGATTCTATGCTGGGCGGTGCTACCGATACCGGCCAGTAGGGGTCACCCCAGCCCAAACACAGCCACCAGGGGATGCCCAGAGTATGGCCTGCCCACTACATCACAGAGCCAAACTGAGAATTTGCAGGCGCCAGCAGAGATGCATGGGCACCAGCCCCACAGCGAGCGGCCAGGCACCGGGCCTGAACCAGCCCCACAGCGAGCGGCCGGGCACCGGGCCTGAACCAGCCCCACAGCGAGCGGCCGGGCACCGGGCCTGAACCAGCCCCACAGCGAGCGGCCGGGCACCGGGCCTGAACCAGCCCCACAGCGAGCGGCCGGGCACCGGGCCTGAACCAGCCCCACAGCGAGCGGCCGGGCACCGGGCCTGAACCAGCCCCACAGCGAGCGGCCGGGCACCGGGCCTGAACCAGCCCCACAGCGAGCGGCCGGGCACCGGGCCTGAACCAGCCCCACAGCGAGCGGCCGGGCACCGGGCCTGAACCAGCTGTGGGAGCTCCCTCTCCCGCCCTGGGCCCTGCAGAGACACCCTGTGCAGTGAGAGGCTCTCTGGTTCCCCAGGCGATCCTGAGGGTGGGGCTGGGAGCCAGGGTGCCTGGGTTCTCTCCCCAACTAGGAGGGCAGTGGGGTCTAGTGGTTAGAGCTGGGGGGCTGGGCGCCAGCACGCCTAGGAGCTCTCCCTGGCTCTGATGTCCAGCAGCCAACCTGCCCTAGGGGAGGGCTGTTCTGTGACTCGGGGCTCCATTCCCAAGGCTGGGGGGGGGG